CTGGTGTTGTCCGCACTCGTGCTCTCCCTCGTGCCCGCCCTGCTGCACGTCCAGCCAGCGCTGGTCCTCCCGAGGCGCTGCTGGCTGACCTGATCACCGGCGTGGAGTTGCAGAGCGAGCACCGCGGTAGCGCCGACGACCACTTCAGCGCCGACGCCGGCTCGTCCCTGAGCACCGCAGCCGAAGTGGAGCTCGGCATGACTGCTGAGCAGCGGCGGCCCCAGGATCCTCCTGAGGCTGCTCCGCCTACGTCTGCTCTCCTTCGGCCGACGGCGATGCAAACGGCGCAGATGCGGACTCGCCCCGCGCCGGAGGACCTGCCGGCTGCCGTGGGCCGCTACGCCGTGGTCTCCGATGCCGGCGTGCTGCTCGTGACAGGGGCCAAGCTGACGGCGGCGGCGACGCGGCTCCCCAGCCCACACCGTGGGGCCGCCTTGCGCCGTTATCTGCAGCGCGTGGCGCTGCGCCGTGATGCCGCCGCGGGCGCCGAGGCCGCTGGGCGGGGTGGCCGCGCGGCGGAGGTGGGCAAGCCCCCCCCCCCCCCCAGTGTCCCGCGTCGGGGCCGGGGGAGGCGGCGAGGCAGCCTACGGGCCCCACCCCGCGTCCAGCTGCGAGAGCGGAGAGGGACAGGCCTCTCCCCCCCGGCGCCCCTTCTCGCTTTGATGGGTGCGGATTCTATAAAACACTATATATAGCTATTCTGTGCACTATAGGATCCTATCAACATGCACTAACAAAAAAGAAAAATATCACACAATAGTGAAAACATGAAAAGTAATAATGTTAAATAATATTTTTTGTTGAAAAAAATGAAAATAATGAAAAATAATGAAACAACTAGTGCACGTGAAAAAATAGCCAATTCTAAGAAAATCACAAACCAGCTTGCTTCTCTTCCTTTCTCCCCTGACTTTCCGCAGCGGCAGGCCGCTTTTACATTGCAAGTTGCGCAGTGCAGCGGTTTGGCCGCTTCAGAACTTTCGTTTTTAATCGCGCCCAGAACGTTGCGCTCCAACGGGGGAGGGGAGGTTAAGGAGAAGGAGGGGGGGGGGGGGGGCAAATGCGTTCGAATCCCTGGATGGTAACCTCCGATGGCCTCGTGAGCCTCTTGTCGCGCTCGTACTGGGCCCGCGCAAGGCGTCGCTGCAGCTCTTGAGATGACAATGGCAGCGGCAAAACTGACGGGAACCAAGAAGCTGAAGGGGCAAAGCGGTCGCACCGCTCCTCCTCCTCCTCCCTTTTTCCTCCTCCTCCTCCCCTTCCTTTTCGCCCTCCTTTTGGATAACCTGCAAAACGGTCATTCCCAGAATCAGGATTTAAGGGGCAAAGCGGACGCGCCGCTGTTCCTCTTCCTCCTACTCCGCCTCCTCCTCGCCCTCCCCCTCCTCTTCCTCGCCCTCGCCCTCCTCTCTCCTCCTCCTCCTCCTCCTCCTCTTCTCCCCCTCCCTCCCTCCTCCTCCTCCTCCTCCCCCTCCTCCTCCTCTCTTGGATGGCCTCGCAAAGCGATCGCGCGCGAAGGATCGGGGCATGAGGGGCAAACGGGACGCACCGCTCTTCTCCTCCTCGTCCTCCTCCTCGTCCTCGCCCTCCTCGACCTCCTCGTCCTCCTCCTCCTTCCTCCTCCTCCTCCTCCTCCTTCTCCTGCTCCTCCTCCTCCTGCTCTCTCCCCCCCCCCCCCCCCCCCCCCCCCCCCCGGGTAGCATCGCAAAGTGGCAGAGCGGTCGCACCGCTCCGATTGTCTCTCCTCCTCCTCCCCCTCCTCGCCCCCTTGTCTTCCCTGGGATAGCCTCGCGAAGCGGTCGCGCCGCTAAATCTCGACAGCGGTTGCCGATTGCGCCTTTTTTTTTTTTCTCGGGACATGCGCTGGCAAGTGCAATCGCGCCAGCGCTCGACGCTTGCAGGCACTTCGGCGCCTGCGGGTACTTATGCCACATCCACCAATAACAGCGTTCCAGAAGCCTCTTGTGTCCAGAGAGGCTGTGCCATGAAGGAGTCGCACTGCGCGAACTTCGGGGCGTCGCCCTTTCGCCGCCGTGGGGCGCTGGGCAACACCTGGCAAATAAAATGCAACTCGTGAACCATCAACGCCACGTTGCCGCCTTCCTCGGCGCCACTGAAGACAAAATAGCGCTTCTCACCAATACGAAGAATATCTCCAGCTGATATCCGAGAGCCACCCACAAGAACGACCTTCGAAACGTTCATGACGTCGTTGTATTTGATGCCGCACACCAAGGCATTCCCAAATGAAACATTATGTTGCGCATCGTGGCACTGAAGGGCAATAGCTCGCATCAGTAATGATTTCTCGAAGCGCCGCGTGTTGTCGATGAATTCAGCGATCCGCAGTGACTTTTTATGGTATCTCTCCGTCACAAGCGTATCAACTGGGAACCCATCCCTGAGCACCTGTCGCGGCAGGTGCCTGCAGAAATCGAACTTTGGGATGTGCATGCCGCAATCACCGTACGCACACTCGAAAGCCGCGGCGTGGTCGCGG